TATCTGAAAATAAGTAGTGGGTTTGGTAGTTGTTTAAATGTTGTTTCAGTAAACAGTTGTTTCCTCACTTCTATTTATCTATTTCAAGTTTGATCAGTGTTACAGCAGAGTTTGTGTGTGGGTAGCATTCAGACACATCTAAGATTCTTGGCTTTGTGAAAAATTGTACAAAACCTCTGTAGTTTTCCAGTTTGATGAGCTTAACTCTTTAAATAACATTAGCATTAGAAGTGACAAAATGCCTGTTGCGGTACCCTGCACTCAGCAGTGGACACTAGTGGATGTACACAGAAGGCAAGAACAGAGTAAGCCTGTAGTGCTGCTGCTCTGAGCAATGGATTATTGGAAGCTAAAGAAACTTTTGGAGCCAGACATGGTATCTTTAGATTTAATAATCCATGAGTACATTTACTGCACCTATTAAAATTGTTTCCAGGGAAGTGTATCTCTTTAATTACGGTATATTAGTAGCATAGGCTGTCTTTGATAAAATGATCCCTGTTTGGAAGGACAAAAAAAATTTAATATCTTTGAATGTTTGCTTAACCAGTAAGAGTTGATCCTCTCTCAAAGGGGCCTGGCTTTGGGGAAGAATAGTCTGGAACAGCTCTTTCCTTAGTACTACTTTTGTTTGTTTGGTTTTTTTTTTTGGTCACAATCTTCCTGCTGTGAATTCCAGTAGATAGTTGTTGCTTTTTCTTATTTTCTTCACTGAGTGTGCTTATAGATGTCTTGTAAGAACATGGATATTTATCTTTGCAATACCTACCTGCGCACTGCTACCAGTTGTCATCTACATAATTGTAGTCTTCATCGTTTTTACCAGTGTCCAATCTCTTTGTTTTTACTGTATGGTTAATAGAGATCTTTCTGTCAAAAAAGTACATAATGCTGCTGCTGTTTTTTCTTATTCCTGTGTCCCTTAAATGTCACCAGTTCATGAAACTGGGGACGTGAACAAGTGAGTTATTCAGCTTTAAAGAAAGTAGCTTGGAGCCTCTATCATATTTAGCCCCTCCACTAGGCTTAGAAAAAGCTTGAACTGATTTAATCCTCTGATTTTTTTTTTTCTTTGAGAAATAAGTTTTAACAGAAAAAGTATGGAAAAGCCATGCCATGTTATATTTCCTCACTGTTGAAGCAGCTAATGAAGTTGAATAAGTTGAAGCAGAATAAAGAGAATTCCACTGGGTCAGCTCAGTGTTGTTGGTGTTAAAATCTGTATTTGCTCTCTCTGATTCCAACAGATGCAAAATAAAGGATGTTTTTGCCTTCCATCAGTAAAACCAGCTTTACCTGTTGATTGGCAGGAATGAAACGTGATGCTGAAGAGCATTGTGGGGTGGGAACAGGGGAAACAAGCAAACAAAAATAACCCCTAAACAACCCCAAACCTCCCACTTTTTCCTGGAGGTTTATGAGATGAATGTGATCAGGAGCCACGTATGACTGCAAAAACCACAATAACGATCAACAAGACACATTGTTAAAATCATACCGCCATGCAGGGTGGATAAATTAATTTTATAAAAGTGTTCAGTAGAAAACTTTGTTTTCAAGTTGACTTGATGGGTAGTTGCTTTAGCTTGTAGGTACCTGCAAGCCTTTCACTTGTGTGCCTTTTCTGATTTGTTTCTAAAGGCATGATATGTCTTGTTAAAACATCATAATTAGTTAACTGAGCTCAACAGCTGTAACTTTTTTGTTCTTATCTAACATTAGCTATTAATAGAATTTATAGAAATTCAGAATTATTTATTCAAAGAAAAAGAAAGCACAGCACTGAAAACTTGGTTTATTCTCTTATGTTTTAAATGTTTATTTAAGCTGCATTTTTTGAATGTTAATTTGTAAAAAAAAAAAAAAAAAAAAAAAAAAACACATTGCTAGCTAACGACCGTGCATAGTTCAGCAGCAGTCTTTGATGTCCTCTTCTTGGAGTGCCGTCAATCTGTGCGCTTCTAAATTCCAGCTGCATCTTCCTAGCACCAGGCACTCACTCGCCAGCTGTGCTGGCCAGCAGGTCAGGTAAAATTGACATATGAGGATGGGTATTAGCTATATTAGAAGCTGTGACATTAAAAATGCATGAGTTGCTGGTGATACAGGAGAAAATGAAGATTAGTGACTTGCTAGAAACTCTCTCTGGCTGCACCCTCAAGCCTAGCAAATACGGGGCTGTGGAAAACGATGACCATGAAGACCATAAAAGCCTGGAAATAGAATTAGTCTTCAGAGTACCATTTCTTTTTCCTCTAAATTTGCTGAGTTCTTTCCCTTTTCTTGTCTAGTCCAGCCGGTGCTGTTCCACTGGATCTGCCCAGTGATGGGTCATGTTTAAAAGTCTGAAGTTAGGAAGGTTCTGACAGCCTGACTCCCATACCTTCTAACAATAATCGGAACAAAGCTTAAAAAGCTCGGTAATAAAATGTGTAAGTCACTTTCACCAGCTCACGTGGTATCACTTTCAATGCACCTAAAATATGAAAAACCCTAGCATTGAGGTGGCTTAAAAACATATATATTTTTTGTGATGTAGAGCAATCTTAAGCACGCTAGCTTCCAAATACTGTTGAAAAGAGCCTTAGTAGGATTTTGCCACTGAAGTTTTTCCCCCTTCTTGACAAATATACGATTTCTAAGTTTGTAAAAACTTCTATGTCATCAGATGTGTTGGGAATGTACTGAAACTTTTTGCAACATAGAATGGACCAATGCTATAGCAGGGTGAGAAAACAAGTGTCACAGGTGGGTTTTGAGATTGAACTTGTAGCATGTTTTGCCTATTCTAAACATTATGCTTTTCAGTATGGGAATTTATCAGGATGTTTTAATAGGTAATAGTTCTGCGTTACAGATATTAAGCTTCTGCTGATTAAAAAAGAAAACTAAAAATAATTTATAGTGTGACCAGGAGCCCTGGTGATAGGTGTTTAAATCCTTTATTGTACAAACTTAGAAAATTAAGTTACTAACAGACATGAGTCGTAAGCTGCCCTAGTTGTGTGTGGTGACCTATATTGCTTTCCCTGCCAATATAAATTTGAAGAGAGATGTGAGAGATTTTCAAAAGCAGTAGTAAATGAGTAAATAACTGGCTGCTGTTTCATTTCAAGTGGTGCTTATTGTGCATCCTTACTGTTGATAAGTATGCTTTTCAATGCTTAAGCAAATATGGTCTTAATGGTCATATTGAGTGTATTTGTAAGTCCCTGTGCCTTTGCAGGCACTAAATGAATGGGGTGGCATCTGGATATGGCCGTAAGTATCAAAACACAAGTATTGGTGGACAATTTAAACAGTTGGTGTAAATATCTCATACAGGCATTCTTTATCATCTTGGACATCACACAAAGCAGCCCCATGTAGAAACACCTGTCCTAGGTCTGGAACAAGAAGTAAAATTAGTGGGTTGATATTTTAGTTATCGTGGGTGGAGGACTGCATGGTGCGGTTTTACTGCTTTCAGAAGGCAGGTTAGTATCTCCTCACTCGCTGCCCTTGAACTGCTGCCTGAGCTAGCTCTGACCAAGCCTGTAAAGCTGCCGGATGTTGCATTGTTTGCTGCAAACCTGCACAGGGAGTCAGTATTACAGATGTGAAGAGAACTTGGTAATTTTTTGTTCCTAGCTGTTTTCTGTTACTTCTGCTAATCACAGTTCTTTTCTTTATTGCTTCTTGATTTTTTTTGTTTTTGTTTTTGTTTTTTGAGTCACTTAATTTACTTTTCCTGAACTAAGAGTCCTAGAACTGGCATTCTTGATAGTAGCATGACATATTTTTATTTATATGGTTTTTAAAAAATAGTTATTATGTTGAACTAAAGAAACAAATATAGTGTGAGAAAATTTGTGAACAGTTAAAATGTAGTTGTGATACTGTAGATTGGCAGAAGGACTTAGTCAAAGCACCTCTAAAAGTGAGTAAAAATGGATGTAAAAGGAGCTTCTGAGGCAGGTTCTCACTCTTAACCACTTATCAGACTTGCAGTTGCAGCTTCTTTGGGAAGCTGCAACTTTGGAAGCTTCTTTGGGAAGCTTTGTGGATGTATGGTAGTTGTGATTTTACTTTACGTACCCGCCCCCCCCCCCCCCCCCCAACTTTCTATCTCCAGTTAGGTCCAAATAGAGTTGTCTGCATTTGGGACTTCAAACGTTCTGAAACATCGTTGTCTTTTAAATAAGAATGTACGTGTGCGAGCTATAGTTTCAAATAAGAGACTGCATAAAAGACCAGCCAGGCCTGCACCTCCACTTGAGTAATATTTTGATAATCTGACCAGAGTGAGATGATACTTAGCTGCATGCACATCATTTAGAAGGTGTTTCTGTATGGAAATTGCTTGAATTTTGGAGGGTAGGCTGCAGTTCTTTAGGATTCCCTGATGCCTGATGACTCTCAGGAGGTAAGACAGTATTGTGTGCCTGTGGGGTAGCTGGAATCAGACTGTCTGGAAACCCTGGGCGTGCTCAAGGCACGCACTCTGCTGAGTAGCCGTTTGCACCGAGTTAGTAATTTCCAAATACTTTGGCCTTGCGACACTGCAGTGTGTGCGCAGCTTTGTGGGTTTATAGGGTTATGCAGGTCTGCTACTTCTGGGAAATGTTAGAGTCTCTGGGTGCATGCTGTCTAGCTGGCTCCTCTGTGCACAGTTAGCTTGATGGGTCTGAAAGCAGCATGTTTACTGTATCTATATACCAAGTGTATAGACTGTTAGATTTTTTGAACATAGACTGTGCAGTTTATTCCCATTCTTCCTGCACAATCCATGATGCACACAGAGAAGTCCAAGCTTTGGCTCAAGTTCATTTTCACTTAGATATACTTTTTATTTTAGGAAGGTACTTGACAGTATCATTTACCACTAATATTCGTTGAATAGAGGACACTTTATGCTGTATTTTAAAGCAAATTAATCACTTTTAAAAACATATTATAGAAGTTCTAATTTATTTTTGTTGCCCTGGATACCTGACTAAAAACTTATTTTTTCTTTTCAGGCAGCTATAAATGGTGTAATACCACAAGAAAATGGCATTCTGCAGAGGTAAGTGCAGAAGGTTGGAGTAGTACATGCACAGAATGATGCCATGTAATAGTTTCTGTTCCTGAATCCTAAGAAGATGATGTAATTTTCCTTTCAGAACAGTTTCTAGAGCCACAGATTCATTTCCTGGCAAATCTGACTTAACATTCAAATTTTTTCTTAAGAATTGAATTCCAGCCTGATCACCTATTCAAATTAGTTAATTTTTACTTTGAATTCAGTGCTTGTCGGATCATCCCATAAAGGGTTATCTCTTTAGTAAGGCTGAATTTTGGTAGGCTCTCTTGGAAGTGAGGACTTGTTTTTTCTATGTGGATATAAAAAATTTGCAAGGCAGTTCTTGTAAAAGTATGTAGATCCACAGATGTGCCTGGCTAAGTATTTTATTTTTTCTTATGCGTTTTAAAAGGTATTGATATTGTATACACATTCACACCCCTATACCCGTGCCCACCCACCCCAGGACCACAAAGGTTTTCGTGGGTTTTTAGTGAATTACGGGCACCAGATGCTATATCAGATAAAGTAAGGTTAGTCTCTCCCTTCTACAAGTAGCTTCACTGATTTTTCTCAACTTTTGAATTAAATTTTGGCTTGTATACTGATGCCTAGATGTTTTGAAGCTGCTGAAACATGCTCTCCTAAGTGCTGATGAGGCAGCTGAAAGCAGCAGAAAAGGAATTGAGCTACTTGGAAAAGACAATAAAATAATGTTTAAAATTTTGTTTAGAAAAATACTCAATGTGCTATTTAAAAAAAAAATTGTTTTTAATTGATGGAAGAAGATAATGTAATGTAGGTAAACTGGTGTTTTGGCATCTATGTCAATAGTCACTAAAGTTATCATTAAATAGTTGGTTTTTGATTCAGGATAAAACCTCATTTGCTCAGTAAATTGCTGGATTTGTATTAACAGTAAGGCCTACACAGTCCAGCTGAGATCAGGTCTCTGCTGTGTTGGGCACTGTTTCTACCTATGTTAATAAGTCATGACCCCAAGGCATTTATAAATATCAGAAAGATTGGAAGAATGGTTTTGTCAGGGGGAGGGAGCTGGGGAGTAGCTATACCTGGAAGAGGTTTTGAAGGAAGCCTAGAAGACTTAGAAGCCTACTTTCTGGTGGTTTTCAAATGAGGCTGACATTCAAAATCGCTGACGTTTGAAATTGCTGACATGAGGCTTTTTATGTTCTCTTAGAGATTGCCGTTCAGATACGTAGGATGTCTTTTGTAATGGAATTCAAATAGAATTAATACAGCCAGACTTGAAGAAAGTTAGTATATTGAAGGGAAAAATACCTTTTGTGTTATAATTTAGTTGTGTTTTAAAAAAGCCATTCCTGAGAGTTGGGATATTCTTTACCTCTTAGCTCTGTTAACAAAACTGTTGTAGTAGTTTGAATTCATAGTTGGACATGAGATTAAAAAAAAAATTACTCAGCATTTATAATCTTTAAAAGTCTGAAAGCAAGACTGTTTCCTGTGCTCTTTATGTATGTGATGTATACAGTCTGAGGTTGTGATGAGTCTTTGTAGCTGAGAATTCATCCTTCTGAGCCTGCTGACTTGAGAAGGGAAGGAGTCCCTTGTGCTACAAGCATAAGGATGTGTGTGTGGTTTTTGTTTGTTTGTTTTTAATGCGGGCAGCACAATGATGGGACTTGCACTAGACTTGTATAATCTCTGCTCTTTTGTGTCCTGGGTGCCAGCCACGCTTATGCTTTTGTAAGCTCAGACCTCCTCTAGATGATAACTTTAACTTGCGTAAGAAGCATTTGCATTGAGAGGTCTCTTAATGTCGTCTTAAGAAGGAGAGTAAGCATTTTCAAATAAGTTCTGTTTAAGAATGGTAATAGCCAAGTTAAGTTTCAGCATCTTCTAAATTATTCTTTGCTCAGCTTCCATTCTTTCAGTGCATACTTTTTATTAGCTTGCATCATCACTATTTCCTGTAGCTGCCCAAGACAGCTCTGAACAGCCCAATCCTCTGAACAGAGAGCATCATCTTCCTGTTAAGAACATCTGCAAGGCAAAGCTCTAGGCATACACTAGGAAGACTCCTACCTTCAAAAGCAAGAGTTCAAAAGAGAATTTGTGTACATCGTAGTTTTCTTTGGCCTGGAGTAATGTTTCTTAAACTTGTTGTTTTGTTATGTTAGTTTTTACGTGCCTCTTATGGAGACGCTCACTGAAGAAGATGAAGTACTTCTATGTAATGGGGGTTTTTCAGATTATTTCAATCTGTAGTGTTATGTGTACCCTTGATATGGGATACATCCTTACGTGAATGTCTAGGAGGCTTTGAACTCAAAGGCAAGCTAGAAGTCAGCATTATATTACTATTGTACTTCTGGATATTAGTTTCAACATACACATTATTAGCTCTGTTTATTTCCATTAATTACATAACTGTCATACCTGACTTGTTTTTCAGTAATTTGGGATTAGACTTGGAATTATTTTTTATGCTTCACTTCTCATTTTCATTTATATAGGATACTAATATGATGGTGTAGAAAACTGTTGGTTTCCATGGTGGCTTCTAAATTGTTATATGATCACAGCATTCCTGAAACAGGGAACAAAGCTTAGCTTTTTCACTCGATAATTCTGACATTAATTGAACTTTAAACTAAGATAATGGCTTGGAAGCCAGTTTGTCATCTCAGATGTTCTACTATAGCACTTCTGAGTCACTGAAATATTAATGTTGTTGATATTGAAGTTAATTTCTGTTAGTATACCAATATTTTTGGATATGGAAATGTAGCTGATTCGACAGGCATATGCTGATGACCATAGTGAATAATACTGTTCATTTTGCTTTGCTGACCTTTTTTAAACAGATAATCTGTTCTGTGTAAACCTTCTTATCATATATCTTTCAGTGAGTACGGTGGAGAGACTTTACAAGGACCAGCATATGGCCCCACGGGTCATTCTACAGCAGCTTCTTCTACTCCCTCCTCATCCTCAGCATTTCGCCATGTAGTGCCATCTAGACAAATAGTGGAAAGACAACCTCGAATGCTTGACTTCAGGGTTGAGTACAGAGACAGAAATGTGGAAGTAGTACTTGAAGACAGCTCCACAGTTGGTAAGGATTTGTAAAGATGAAATGGAAACTATTGTGGTAAAATTATTAGAACAAAAACCAACAAAAAAAAATCCAGTCCTAAAACTGCAAGCCTCAAAACACAAAAAAAAACCCCAAAACCAAAAGACCATAGATACTAACCATTTCCAAATCTCTTTGTAGCTTAAAAGACCACCAAATTTCACTATTTCATTGTTAAGGATCTAGCAAAAATTTATTTAGAAATCTAGTGGTCTTTTGGGTTTGCTTCAGAAACAAAATTGAGATTCCTGATTAAACTGAGACATGAAAGTGTAATTAGGGGTAGGATTAGTGTGGATGTGGTATACTAATGAGCAGATGATCTTGGCATTTCACATGTGTGTAGCATCATCTATCCCTTCCTGTGTAGGAATAGTGACAAGATTCAGAGGGATTCTCTCTAGGGTGAAGATCCTCATTGCATTCACTTTTTTTTTTTTCCCCCCCCTAACTATTATTTGACTTTTCTGGGAAAATTAAGGTTCCTTTTATGTGATTTTTCACTGTATGTATCCTAAAACTGATGTATTTTGCAACAGTATGTTAGAAGTATGTTAGAAGTATGCTGCTGTTTGTGTTGCAGAGTATATTATTTTTTGACATTTCCCAAACTGGGAGTTAATTTTACTTTACTAAAGAAAAGATTTGTGTTGTGAAGTTACTATACAGTTCAAAACAAGGAATTAAATAAAGAAATAGTGAATTAAAAAAAAGCTGAGCTGCAGTCTTATATTTGTGATGAAATTTTGAAATCGAAACATTTGATCCTTTTTCAAGTCGTTTTAGCATTTTATTTGGTATTGAACAATGCCACCTAGTGGTGATTATTTCAAATTCTTGATTACGGTTTCACTTTTTCCAGTGCACTGTACTTAATGATGTCAGTGCAAAGACGATATAAAAGTCCAACCAAATCATAATTTTGCATCTGTTTTCTGCTCCCCCCCCCTATCTCCCTCCCATCTATTTTCTTGCAGATATTAATGATTAAGCTATAAGGCAGAAGACAGTTGGTGGAAATCTTTTGTCTATTTCTTGGCATGTGAAGGTTGAGAGCAGTCTTGGCTGCATCAACCAGGAGATAGTGAGGTTTAAAGTCCTGAGAGAGTGAGCAAGGCAAACGGTAAAATTTCAGTCCAGGACTTCAAGAGAGCAGATTTTGGCCTGTCCAGGGATCTGGTTGGCAGGATTCAACGGGAGACTGCTCTGGGGGTAAAGGGGCCCCAGAGAGCTTGTTAATCTTCAAGGGCAACCTCTTCAAAGCAGAAAAATAGTTCAATCCAACATGCAGGAAGATGAGCAAGCATGGCAGAAGGACAGCATGGAAGAACAAAGAACCTTTGACTAAGCTAAATGCAAGTACACAAAAGGTGGAAGTAAGGATGGGCTAACCAGGAGGAATACAGAGACATGGCCGGAGCATGCAGGTTTGGAGTTGGGAAGACCAAAGCTTGGATAGAGTTGAAACTATTGAGGGTTAGGAAGGGCTTTGGTATGTAAACCAGCATTAAAAGAAAACTAAGGAAAATGTGAGCCTACTGCTCAATGGCAATCATTGAACCTCAGTCTGTGGGAGGGTGAAAATCCTCCTGGAAGCCCTTTCTCAGCCCATGAAGGAAAAGAAGGTGATTGGGAACAGCCAGCAAGGATTTGTCAAGGCCAAATCATGCCTAAGCAGCCTGATTGCCTTTTATCATGTGGTGTGGACAGGGCTCTGTGGAGAGAGGGAGAGCTGTGGCTGTTGTTTGCTTTGACTCTAGCAAGTCTTTGACACAGTCTCCTGTAGTATTTTTATAGTGAAATTGTTGAGATGAGAGCTAGATAAGTGGACTTATAGGTAGATAACTGGCTGAACTGCTGGGCTCAAAGTCAAACTGGAGAGCAGTTGCTAGTGTAGAGATGTCCCTAAGAGGTCTATATTGGGGCCAGCGTTGCTTTGAGAGGGCGAGCGCTTTTGGCAAGTTCACAGACAGCACCAAATCAGAGAAAAAGTATTCTGGAGAGAGGGGCTGCTATTTAGGGGGACCTGGACCGACTGGAGAAAGAGGCTGACAGGATCCTCATGAAGTTCAACAAAAGCAAATATGATGTCTTGCATCTGGGATGGGATAACCCCATGTTATCCTGTCTGATAACTGGCTGGGGGCTCAAAGCTAGAAAACAGCTCTACATTAAAAGCTGCACACCCTTGCAACGAATAAGACTAGCCACACCTGGGGTATATTAGCTAGAGTGTAGTCAGCTGATCAAGGGAAGTAATTATTCCCTTCTGTTCAGCAATTGTGAGCCTGCATCTGGAGCACTATGTCCAATTTTGAGCTCCCCAGTACAAGAAAGATATTGACATAGTGGAGCAAGTCCAACAGAGGCCACCAAGGTAGTCATGGAACTGGAGCACGTGGTAACGTATGAGGAGAGGCTGAAAGAGTGGGATTAGTTTAGGCCGGAGAAGAGAAAGGCTAAAGGGAGACTTTATTGCTGTCTACAGCTAACTGGTGGGAGGACACAGAGAAGATGGAGCCAAACTCTACTCGGAGGTGCATAAGAATATGATGAGAGGCAATGGATGCAGTTTGGAATGTGGGAAATTCTGATTAGATGTAAAGATTTCTTTTTAATTATTTGTTATTTTTTTTATTGTGAAAGGTGGTCAAGTATTAGAACAGGTTGGCCAGAGAAGTTGGTGAACCTCCATTCTTAGGTGTTCAAGATTTGACTGTACAAGTCTTTGGGTGAATTGATCTAGTTAGACCTTTGAGTTGCGAGGTTGGTTTAGATGATCTCCTGAGGTACCTTTCAGCCTAAATTATTTTATGGTCCTAAAAACTACAAGGAGAAGGAGAGTGTCAAAATGTCTAAAACACTGGAAGAACTTTTAGAGCAGTCAAATTGTATGAACACTCAGGCTTTGTATGTCACGGCTATTGAGAATGAAATTGAGTATCAAAAATACGCACCTTGTTTATTGCTGTCAACATGCATTGCTTCAGATAGTACACATCTGCAAATGTTTGGGACTAGCACGCACAGTGTAGGACTATTCAAGGATATGTCCAGGCTGTCAAATCCTCGTGTGGTTGTTCGTTTAAATTCATGTTCTGTGTGATTTTTATCTTCCTTTGTTCTTTACTATTTGAAGTATGTGTTACTAGGGTCACTAAACTAAAACTGGTTTTCATCATAAATTTTTTTTCTTGCTCTTGTTTTTAACTATAGTCCTGTGCCCTTTGAAATAAGGCAGCAAGTGTTTGTATTTTTATGTGTGGTTTTCTTGATATTTCCTTTGTTTTCTCTTCAGGAGAGATAAAACATATTCTAGAAAATGAACTTCAGATTCCTGCGTCTAAAATGCTGTTAAAAGGGTGGAAGACTGGAGATGTAGACGATAGTGTAAGTTTTCAGCTGTGTCTTCAGTTAACTGATTTCAGTGTTTCAAACTAAACATCTGTGGGTGGCTATTGCAGTGCAAAAATTGTGAGTTTCTAACAGTGTTAGTTATCTTGGATGAAAGGAATACAAGAGAAACAGACTAAAACATTGCAAAAAAAAAAGAAAAAAGACAAATCACTTTTGTTAGTGTTATTTTTATATATGACATGGCACACCTACAGAAAAGATGTTACTAAAATAACAGTAAGTGTATCTCAAAACAAAATATTTGGTAGCATTGTAAGTAAACGTTAATAATTAAAAGCAATAAATAAACCATAATATGTCAAAATCAACAAATGTTCTATATTTATAATCATGTTTTTTTTCCCCCCCTCAGACTATTTTAAAAACTCTACACTTGCCAAAAAATAATAGTCTTTATGTTCTAACACCTGACCTGCCTCCTCCTTCTTCGAGTCATTCTGGGTAAGTCTTTTGGCCATAAATTCTGTTTGTACTGCTGTGTGTGTGTGTGTGTGTGGTTTTTATGAAGCTGCATGCATCCTTACAGGAACCCGCACTCAGTAAATGCAAAGTACTTCACTGCTTTAAGATATACTAGTAAGTGTTGAGATTAACAAACCTCAACACCCAATTGCTGAAAATAACATTATTAAGAAAAGTTCTTTAAAACCTTGGTGTGGTGCATTTACTCCTTGAACACATGCAGAATTTTGCACCGCCCAAATGTAGATATCTTTAAGTTAACAACAATGTAGTCCCTGTGGAAATTAAAGTGGCCTTCCGTATCTTCTTGTATTATATTGGTTCATTTAACATAAAGCTATTATAATAATTGTAATGTATATGTACATCACAATAATAAATACTGTGTATGTATGTTACAAAAACAAATAATAATGTAATAAAACATGTAGTAACCATTACCAACATATCAACATTTTCTTTCTGAAATGTTTGTAACATTATATTATCATATCTTCTTGGACTTTTTAAATGTAGGTAGGTAGGTGGGGTAATTAATTTCCTTTGATTGAGTAGGGTATCTTTTATTACTGATTTAAATACTCAAAAACTAACAATGAGTGAATGAGTGTTCATATGTCAGTGAATATTGCGAAGTTTTGAAAGTGAAATAATATTTTCTCAAAAACGGAATCCTTACTGTCACATGTTAATATTAGATTCCTTTACTTTGATTACTATGGCTTGTTTTCTCTCCTGTCCTTCCTGTTCTCAAAGGCAGAGCTCTGTGTTCCTACCAGTAAAACATTAATATTATTACTTAACCGCTAGGGGGTGCGCAGTAATTGAGTCTAAGAGAGTAGTTGTATCCCTAAAAAGTCAAGCAAGCAGGAAGGATTGAATTTTTGAATTGATTAAATTGCATAATCATTAGACTAGATTGCCTTCAAGTTATCTGAAGAGGGAATTGTTTTTTCTACTATTGTAGTTGGATAGTAGAGTACTCTACAAATGCAGTTGTATTACCCATGCAAGAAATTCTTTTGACAATCAATAGAAATAAATAGCATTTCTTAATGACTACAGATACTCCCGATATTACTAAAAGTAACTTCTACATGTATGTTCTGTAGAGGAAATGAAAATTCGGGTTTGAACTGAAAAAAATTGAAGCATTAGGAGAAGAAACTAGTGGAAATGGAACCGGGGGGGTGGGAGGTGGAGCGACGCTGAGCTGCCCAGTGAATTGTGTGTGCACTGTTTGTGTTAGCAGGAGCTGTAGTTGTGCGTGAGGACAAAAAGAACAGTGGAAACGCTGTGGAAAAACACTGTAGATGCTAGCTGATTATTATTATGTCTTTGTAAATTATTTTTCAATTTCAGAATTTTCTACCAAGGTGTCACTGGATTTTGTAATTTGAATGTTTTCAGTTCTGGAAAGAAATTGGGGTCTGAAGAGCGTGCCTTTTATTTCATCTGAATAAATCATATAACAACAACAGCAAAGAAAAACTGTTTGAAAAGAGTTCTTAGGCTTTTTTGGTGGTTGAAGAGTTTAAAAGAACTTTGTACTTCCTAGTAAAATCAAAGTGGTTGTTGCCATTACTTTACAGTTTATACTTGTTTCATAGTGGAAATTAGTTCTGGATATTTTTAACATACATCTGGTAGCTTTGGGATAGCAAAAGATGATTAATTAGTGGCTACTTAAACAAGGATAATTTGAAGGCGAGATCATCTCCCTGAAGTCATAAATTCTAGATGAAAGGGGAGGCTTGCCTCCAATTAAAGCATCAATGCAGATCAAAACACATCTAATTGAAGCAATGTACCAAACCCAGTTACACTGTTTACTGCCTACTGTTAGGTCAGTTATTACTCAGATTAGTTTGTTACCCACAGTTTTTAAAAGCATGATGCTAACATCCATTATTAATGGATGTTAGAGAACTTTGCCTCTTACTTTGAGTTCATCTGTTGTTTTCTTCAAATACCTTCTGTTTTCAGCTAAATAGTCATGATCTGAATATCTCCAGAATGTGATATTTGAAAAGCTTGAAATTTCAGTACGTGATATTTTATGTATGTGCCCTTCTTAAAAGGAGCGATCTGATCACAGCTCTATAAACTCCAGCTTTGTTGCTGTTCTTGACGCAGAGGGAGAACCAGAGTCTGAAGCATCGTTTCCCACCTCATTGGTATCTAGGCATTGAAGTTTGTGACAGACTGGATAGGCTTAACCCAGAACTGATCTAAGCTAGCATTGAAATGTTATAGCAAAGTGATCCTGCAGTTTGAACAAGCAAAACTCTGCTAGGATATCTTCATTCGTCAGTGGCATACCTAAAGCTTTTATAGGTAATAGAAACCCAGTGGCTTTCTACCACGCATGCTAATACATTGAGGTGTAAAGATTAAATTTAAATGTCAGTTTTGCTTGCAGGCTTGCATATTTTGCTTCCACAGTTGTAGTTGGCAAAGCCATACTTACCCATCCTCGACCTCTAGAACAGTGACAATGTGTTTTGTGAGCTGTGGCTGAAAGGAAGCCTGATCCTGAGTGAATTCCTGCTTCAGCCTGAGAGCTGAGATAGCTCAGCTCTCTCCGCCTGTACTTCCAGGGATCTCACCCTCCTCGGACACATGCCGCTTCCAGTTCCTCCCATGCGTTTTCTAGTACTTACCTCATTTTTCCCTGCATGTGCAGGCAGTATGCCCTGCCTCTGTTCTCCAGCTGATGAGACAGGTTATACTGAAGGGCAGGAGGTGTCATACGCTGTAGGTAGTACTGTGATCACTGGCCACAGGTTGGCTGCATGGAATATAAAAATGTTAGACTTGTATTGCAGCTTCTTACTAAGATGGGTACTAATTTGGGTCTCTTTCCTCTACCCAGCTGTTGATTTTTCACTCAGTTTTTGGGACCTTTATAACTGTCAGATTTCTTTGAAACTAGTGAGTATGTTCAAAGTTACTGGATGGGACGGGTGGGTGGAGAAAAACATAATTTTTTTTTTTTTTGGAAAGCAGCCTTAAAAGGGAAGAGGACAAAGAATGTCCATCAGTTAGTTGTCCAAGGAGAGAAATCCCTTGCACCTGCTTTGCCAGATTAGATTCCTTTCCACTTCTCTATCGTGGCCTTTGCTGCCTCGGGTGCTTCTTGAAAGCCAGCAATACCCAGCACAGGGAGAGGCTTGGGAGCGCGATAGAAGGGAGCATGAGAAGGGTAGGCGTGCAAGTCTGGCCACATGCTTAGGTCATCCTGACATTCTTCCCTTTCCATCTTGCATGTTCTGGGAAATGTTTTTAATCAGTGTTTTTTTTTCCTTTGGTTGTCACTTTAATAGATATCATGGGGCTTTTATATATATTTTTCTAAATAGCTGAAAATCTGAGATACTTTATTATACCTGGTGTATCATTGGACAGTTAAAAGCTATCTGACTGTGTGCATATCTTGGAGATTATTACAGATAATATATTCTAAGCAATTGTAATTTAAGAAATGTAATAATCTGTATGGATAGGAATAAAAAAAAATCTTTCAAGAAATGGCCCCGTCTTTTGCTGAGTGTGTGTCTTTTAGATTGTTGCAGAGCAGTGGTGACTGTGACATGGTGTCTCGGTGTATGTTATCAACTGTAGCGGAGTGTTAATTAAGAACGATGTAACCTGCAACTCCAATTATTAGTAGTGTCTGTTTAGCTGGACAGGAGCAGTGTCTTGCTTTAGTTACTTTGAAAACCTCAATGAGAATGGTAAGATTAATGTTTTATTTTCACATCTGCTCATGAGACAGTTTAAAAATCCTGAAGTTTAAAATGCAATAGAAGGTAAACAAAAGGGCTTCTGCTCATTTACATGTTAGCCAGATTTGCTAACTGATTGCTGTTTGAACCTAATCTACCATCTCCTGCTGCATTAGCTACAACAAACATTACATTTACATACTGACTTCTTATTTTGTTTTAATGTAAATAATCTGTAATTACAGTAAATTTGGACTTCTGTTGACATGAGCTTGTATAAATCTGTAAGTTTAAAATGGAAATGTTAATTACTTTGTGTCATACCTATTTATATAAAATCCTGAGATTTTTGGGAAAATCTCCTTGTCACTGAAGAAGATCTTGCATAATGAGAAATAATGAATTTGTTTCATAAAAACTCACAGAACTGAAATAAAAAAGAGGACTTGCTGATCATTGATTAAGGGTATACTTTTGGTTTCATAGTTAAAAATATCTCTAAAATTTCAAAGAATAATGCTATAAAAAACTACATCAAAAGTCAAAGCATTAAGGCAGTACTTAACAATAGATATAACCAATCTATTGTTAATATATTAAGTGTTACAGAACAGTGGAAAACTAGTAGAACTGGAAGCTTAAAATATAATATAAATATTAATATCATTGTGCTTTAGCCTTGCATAAACTGATTGGACAGTTGCTAACCTGTTGAGATGAACATTATTTGCAGTTACATGCTTTTTGGCTAAATTTGGTTCTACTGTAAATTTATTAGAATTGTACTATACTGAAATATTGAGACATACGGAGTAGCTAGTGAATAAAATCTTTCAGGACTCTTAATCGAGCATTTGATACTTGGAATTTAGAGAAGAACGTTCTTGTATCTTTTGTTGTCTAAAATTTGAGTTTTAAAGGACGTTTTTGTTTGCATTTTGTGGAGTTTCAGCCCCTGTTGAATCCAGGTTCATCCGTGAGGTTTTTATGCGTTGCGGTAACGCTGATAACCAAAGCTGTATGTGATCCATATGAAATAGAAAACTGATCTGAATCTCTTGCTAGAAGTGGTCAATGTGGTAACTGTGCTCAGATCTGTTCTCTTTTGTCTGTGCTCAGACTTGCTTCTTTCTGATTGCCTCTCTCTGAGGCAGAGTTGTTCCTAAAAATATCACTGAGTTCCCATGTCTCCTATGCTGAATAGTGAATGTGTAATCATTCAGCTGAGGCGGGGGAAAAGTAATGGCAATGGACAACCTATCTGTACATGCTTTTGAAAGCTAGGATTTGCAGTAGGGAGGACACGGTGCTGACAAGAGTTGCCCACTTTAATTCTATTTCTAGAATTTGCCCCTCTGCCCCCATAATTAATCCTTAGATAAATTAAATTCTGTTAGCGCTGATGGCAAAAAATCTTTCTCGACTTCCCTCCCCCCACCCCTTATGCATACATTTTATTTGGAAGATTTACAGTCCACTAATAACAGTTGCTGGAAGATGAAACTGCTCAAACGCAGGAGCTAAAATTTTAGCAATGTGCTTTATGTTCAAAGTCAGGCTCTCACCACTGTTATGTGCACCTAAAAAAATAAAGAAGTTTCAGCTTATTGTCAATGAGATTAGAAATCTCCTTTAAATATCTCTGTTTTGTGCGTTTGATAGCTTTAATGATTGCAAATACGATTATAAGGCAAGGCAGGTTTTTGGAGGCAGAGTTTTGTTGGCACAAAGACTTTGGGGTAATCCAAATCCTTAGCTGCTGGAGGAAATGAATTTGGGAATTGGTGGGCCTTACTGGTTGTCCAGCTGCCTGTTAAAATCAACCCCATCCCGCAGAGGAGCGTTGGTACGCCTAGGAAGTTATCGGCATATACTGCCCATCACATGCACTAACAGCTCCTCTTCCCCTTGGCTTTCCAGGGAATGTTACATGTCCTGTGGCTCTCAGGCCATAGAAAGTTTTTGTATGGCAGCTCAAAGGATTGGGTCAGTTGATCATTGTATTTGTGTGTAAATTTTATTCTACACATATTCGTCATTATCTTTCTGAGGAAAAGATGAATAATCAGTCATATACTTTAATAGCCAGCACTTTCAAAAAGGTGTTTCAAGGTGTTTTTTTTTTTTTTTTAGCCTAATTTTTAGCCAAGTCTTTGTTTGTATTTGGCTCTGAATATATAGTGAGAGCTTGCTTGTTCTCAGAGAAGGGAATATTTTGCGCTGCATCTCCATTTAAATTCCCTCCTTGTTTAATTTCAGATTTTCATAATCAATTGCACCTATTTCTTTTAGCTGCAACATCCCTGCAACCTCGCTGTTGCTTCTATTTTCTGAGACGTTTTCCCTGTGAACTATGAGACATCTGATTGTCTCATATAAGAAGCAATTTTTGTGGTCTGAAATATTGTAGTCTTTAGTGTTACTCAGGTTTTCAGGACTGGATCCATCATCTTTTGCAGAGCAGTAGTGTTGGTAGTAGATTTTTTTTTTTAAATCCATTGCGTTGTAGAAATACGTAAATGATTGATCATTCCAAAAAGAGATGGTACTAAAGCTCCACTACTTGGAAAAAAAGTATAATATGATCATAGCAAATCATGTGACCTAGTGGACTTGATCCTCTTGAGGACAAAAAGATTACACGTATAACACAGGTTTTTACTTTAAAATTTCAATATTATCCTATTTTTGGTAATGAAGATGGAAAAGAAAGTGTTTGAATATTTAAAATCAAGATTTTACAGTCTAACTGCAACAACTGCGTTTCAGTATGAAAAGTAAAATACATACTTGAAAAATATACTTGATTTTTCTGGACTATTTCTTGTCTTTAGAGGGGCTGTTAATTATTTTAAAAATTTTCCAGCTTATTATTAGAATTTGTGACAAGTGCAGCTAGCTTCACATTAAGAGGTACAACTGAAATAAGTCATCTATGTAGTGTCTGTCATGTATTTGAACATTCTTAGCATTAACAATGAATAAACTTTGTCTTCCATATTACAAAAATGTAAAACACAAGAAAAATAGCACTTTGATTTTGTTTTGTAGTATGTGGTTATTATATTTAAGATGTCACAGAATCCATATTATGTTGCTGAGTGAAGATATTTTTATAAGGTAATTTTTCTTGAAGTGTTAAAGCAAATCGTGCATCTCTTGCTAAAGCATCCAATGAGTATTGCGTGGGTTCCTTACTATCTGAGTAGCAAAACTGCAGACCAGTAATTCCAGCAGAAGAAAAACTAACATATCCAGACTCAAATAGTCTAGCAGTCTTTCTTGTCGTCTTGTGTATTAAGATACAGCAGTGTTCATCTGCATAGTAGGTCCAAACAGAATTTGTCCTTTATTGCTTGAAGAAACAGAGTATTGAGGTGAAGCAGTAGATTGCAACAGTGAAGATCTGAAGAAAAAAAGTTTATCATTCTTGTATGAGTGTGTTATTAAAAAAGAAAGAAAGAAACCCGATATAATTCCAAATACCCTTAAACAGGTCAAGTTTACATAAATTTTAGAAATGTAGCAAGCTGTGTTATAATATTGTTGCAGTTTTGTAGCCTATATATAAGGTTGTACACAGCTGTAATTAGCCCTGATTGTAATACAAGTCCTGTCTTTTCTTTTGAAAAGTAGATAATTGCATAATTTTGTGTCTAATTAAGTAAGCAGGATGCTTTTCTAATGTCTAGATCTTCTGTTACTAGGAAAATCACAAAAGACAAGTTTTATGTGGCAACATGAATATATAGTTGACCTGTTCAATCTGTATCTGAAGATTTTTTTTTTCCTCAATTGAAATCATTAAAGATACTTTAATGTCTATTAAGAAAAAATTGAGCAGAACTTATTTCTCTAAATGCTCAATACCCACACGAGAAACTTTGTAGTTAGTTTCCCAGTTCTAATTAGCTGAATTTGTGCTTTGAATGAAGCTAAGCGGAAGAATTTCCGTTTGATTTTTTCTTCAGGTGCCCTAGAGAAGTAAGAGCATGCTTTGCTTTGTTCTGCTTACTATCAGTTTTTAATGTGCATTGTAGCTTGATATTTTGTCTGGTCATCAATATGCTTACAAGCCTGGTGTTAATGGCATTGTGAGTGCTAAATATACCTGATGTTTGTGATGATAATGTGACTCTCTCGATTTTGAAAATACTTAACATTAGAAGAGCTTTAAAGGCTGCAGTCACCTTATTAAGGAAGCAGTTCAAGAATGGCCTTCAGTCATTCTCAGTGTGCTTTCTTGCATTTAAGAGTGAAAAGAGAGATGATAATGTTGTGCCTGGACTTGTCCATGTAGGGTTTAGGGTACCCTGGGGTTTTTGCATCTAGCTGTAAAACAAGCTACAACATGCTTATCCCTGATTTTCTTGTTTTTCTTTCAACCATTTCAGGGCCCTGCAGGAGTCATTAAATCAAAACTTCATGCTGATCGTCACCCATCGAGAAGTCCAGCGGGAGTACAACCTCAACTTCTCAGGAAGCAGTACCATTCAGGAGGTGAGTTCCGTTTCACAGCTGAAGAATAAATGTTGCTCATTATAGCTAACGGCAACTTGGTTAAAGAGGGCTTACATGATTTTGTTGGGAACTATTTTATTGCTCAGTTTTTGGTTTAATCAACTCGGATCATCAAGGTTGCTATAAATTGATTAAAGGACATGACCTAAAAAAGGTTCACTATTAAATCATACAGAAAAGATGTTTCTTTTTGCATTGCGATAGCAAAATACATAAACAGTGTTCACTGAGTTATTGAAGAGTGATAAGGAAAGGCAGTTATTCAGATCCATTTTATTTTTTAGCCCCTTGAAGCTCCCACTGCCTTGCTCTCTTCTAAGCAGCTCCATCTCCCTTTTGTAAGCACCTCTACTGTTATTGGTGGCTCTCGCAGCGCTGTAATCCGTAGCGGCTTGGGAGCCACGGGATTTCTTTGTATGCCGGTGTCCGTGCGGTTCTGTGGAGTGGCCAGCAAGGGGTGGTGTTGTAGAGAACTTTGTCACGATTAAGTCCTGGAGGAATAAACGTCCCTGGTATGAATCTGGATCCTCTGAATTTAGAACAAGCACTCCTTGTGTGTGTGGTTTTTTTTAAACTCCTTTCTAAACAAAAACAAAATATTGTTGTCTAATGCTTCACAGTATGTCTAATGTTTCAAATGGTTATTTTCCGTACCACCCACCAAGCGGGGATATATGAAACCTGAAGAAACGTGACAAGCAATCTGAAATGTGAATCTTCAGAATTCACGTTAAAAAATATTAAGAATAAAGGCTTACTTTTCAGATTAAATGTATGCTTGCTATCGATGTGACACTTCTCTCAGTCAGTCTTTCAGGACTGAGAAGATCTTACTGAAATCTTTCCTGTGATATGGTGACATTGTAGGTAGGATTGTTTTAAGTTCCGTAATATTAGCTGTAGGAGCAATAGCTAACACAACAATGAAAACTGACTATTTTCATTGTGAACCCTGTTATTCTTAAGATCTAGATTCTGATTTTGCTCTGTGCAAAAGGCTGGTTTTTATTTTGTGTTTTTTTTTAAACTTACTTTTCAATATAAATTTGCAAACATTGTTGGGCCAGTTTGTTTTTGGAGGGTCTCGGCTCTGACTTTTCAAATTATTCCTAATTTAAAAACCATACAAAAATAAATGATCATAATGATATTTTTTTCAATTGTGAGATGCTAAAAGAAAAAAACATGCATATTGCTTCTTTTTACATATGCTATATCAATTACTTTTTTCCTGGTGGGTCTTAAAGGAACCAGAAGGTGGTACAGTGCTTGGGTATTTAGGCTGTCTTTACATGCATTGAAGTAATCTTATTTGTTGGTAGTTACAGATGATAGTCAACATGTCGCATACAAAGTCAATTTAATTTAAAAGTGAGTGAATAATTTTCCCCCTTAAACAACTGAAGAAAAAAACAAAAACAAAAAAACACCCCAAGCCCTGCCACCCCATAACCAAATCAACCTTGCATCAAATCTTTCTGTGCCTTTATCTCTTGTATCGAAGCGTTGCATCCAATACAGCGTGTAGAATTGAGACAGTTTCAGAAGCTAGAGTGGAAAAAACTCTGGACCTTCTTGCTGCAGTTGATGCTGAACAGGTGAATGTGTCTGTACAAAGTCACACTGAAATCACTGGGGACTTGGCTGAGGTAAAAGGGACGGTGAACATTTGTCTAATTATAGAAAACAAGCACTGTTTTGTATGTTAACTCCCTAATTGGTTTTTAATTTATTTTTTTTTCTTTTAGCATAGAGCGAGCATTGTAACAAACGATTGATGAATCTCGTTGCTTTGTGTGATTTGAAGGAATCAGTGATATTTTTCTTTCTTCGCTCTCCCTATCTCTTTCCTCTCCAGAGACTGTTAGAATTTTTATTCATTCTCTTGCTCACACTTGTACAAATTAATAGTTTACTTTCCTTCTGGTGTATTTTTGTAATAGTGGAAAAGCTTTATGCAAGTTGCAGTTGCCAACCACAAGAGGGCAGGAAGGACTATTCAATTATTACCTATAAATGCCATTCAGCATTTTCAAATTAGCTTCTGGTATATTAACAAAAAGGAGTATAATGGCTAAGTTATTGTTTGATTTACAGATAATTGGCATATTGCAGGGAGGAGACTTAATTTCACCCTTTTAAATTAAACAGGGAGATTTAAAAAGACATAAAATATTCATTAATGTTCAGTGATTATAAAGCAGCGGCATATATTTATTCTACCTTTATTACTGTTTCGATGGGAAAATACTGCAAATATTTCAGAAATCGAGTTGGCCATACTGACAAGTTGAAATGTTTAAGCAGTGTTAATGCAATCTACTCACACGTTATATCCTATGCAAAAAGATTCAAAATGACTACATCAATTATTAAAAGAAATATTTAAAATTCTATAAATGTTCCATTGCTTGCCACAGTTGAATGCAACTGTCTCTCCAGGGCCAGTTGTTTGGTTTGTTGTTATTATTAGTGCAGCAAGTTTTAAGGAATAAAAAATATTTATTTTACAAATGTTTCCAGCAACAACAACAACAACAAAAAAACCTTGCAGAACAGTCATAAATATTTTGCAACGGTTTAATGTGAAATCCAGTGAGCTATCTGCTGTGCTCTAATAAACTACTGTTGCTTCAGTTCTGTTTTCTTCTTTCTTTGTTTAGAACGTATGTTTCAAATGATATTTGGATGAACTATTACTTAAATCATGCTTTTTATGGAATACAGTCCAGCAGAAAATTAGCTAGCAGAAAAGCCTGAACCATAGTGCTCAGATCTGGTTCCACAAATTTTCCTGTATTAATTCCATGGTTGGATTTTGGATGGTGCACAAAAGTGCTTTTATCATGTGTTTTGTCCACATCTTCAACTACTTACTCATTAAGATTTAATTTTTCGGTTAAAAAAAAACAAAAAAACTTATCCTCAGTTATAGGTTGCAGACCTGAATCATTATAACGAATCTTCAGAAATAATATAAAAAACGAAAAACAAGTTCTCCAAAAATTCTGTAGTTTTTTTTTTTTTCTTGCAAGTTGGGTAGGGGAGTTGTTAACTTGGAAAGTTAACGATAACATGTTGGCCTAAATTGCAAATTAATCTGTGTCACGTTTTTCTGACATCTGTTTGTTCTTGTAAAATTGCAGTATTAAATTAATTCTGGGCAGATACTGTTCTGGGAAAAAATCATGATTACTTTTTTCCATGATCTGCATTTTAAACTGGAAATGAGTAGGTTTTGTGCCAGTTTGGAGACTGTAAATTAAAACATTTCCAATGTACTATATGGTTAAGTAAGGGCAGTTCTAACAAATTGAAGTGCTAATACTTATAAAATTATGAAGAGTTTTCAGTCTGAATGCTCGGTCTTTATTCTACTATGATAATTAGTAGAGGCTATCACTAGTTGAAAGTTGAGGTGAGAGAGCTTTTTTTAATTTTGATTTGAGAAGATATGTGCTGAAATTTGTAAGAGATTGCCACTTTCAACATCATTTGTTTTGTCTGTTATGATTTTGTTATATACTAGGAATGAATATTTTTTGTGAGTTGTGGTTACGTTACTTGAGAGACGAAGGGCAAGTTTTTTTTATTTTTTAAAATGTTTATTATTTTTCTTTTCAAAAGGGGAGTACTTAATATTTTCCTGAAAAGCAACTTTTTGTTCTCATTCTGGAGTAGGCACAGTTTAACTAATTTGTGAAAAACTTACTGAATTTGGAATTTGGAAAGCTCTCTTTTTATCCCAACAACATGCTTCACGCTTTTTGTTGTTCTAGTAAGTGCCATGGGGGAAAAAACATTCAGAAAATTTTAACAGACTAATTACCTCCATTAAAAACAAGGAGTTTGCGTTTGTCTATTTTACTGACCGTGTAGTCTTTGAAGCCTTTTTTGTGATTCCTGTGTGCAGGATTACAGCAGTACCCAGTGTACACAAGCTGTGGCTATTAAAAGGAGGACAAGTGAAATATGCAGAAACCCCAGGCCCCTTGAAGATAGATATATATGGATACACATATATGTATATATATATATTTTTGTAATTATTGGAGATTCCAGTTGAGGATACTAGGTAAAGCATGCACCAGGTACTGTAATTCCTAGTAAAACATAAAATCTGTGCAAAGAAGATAGGTTCCTAAATACTGTCTACCTTTGCATAGCTGCATCTGCTCTTTAGTCCGTGCCTTTAGCCAATTAAAGTAAGTAGAGGCTAGCTTCTTAGCATCTCTGTCACCTGTGTTAAGTAGTATATTTGTTCTTTGTTCCCTGTAGACTTACTGGCTAAGGTGGAATATGAAAAGCAATGTATCCAGTAGCACTGCAGGCAAGAGAACGAACTAGGCATACACAGAACTGCTCTGGGATGGGATAAGCTATAAATTCTGTGTTGACAGAGACTACCGATAGTTAGAAGACCTTTTTACAGAATTTTTAAAAGCTTTTTTGATAAGTGGATGAATGTGAAACAAGATACAAAACCAGAACATATAAACACGGGCAGAAACCTCATTTAAAAGGCCTAGATAATGCTAATACATAAATATATGTGAGTAGATGAACTCTCTTCAACATACAAAAAACTAATTTAGCTGAAGAAGGTTTTTTTCCTTTTTTCAGATCTGACTTTTGGTATTTGTACAAATATTTTCAAGCCAGTTATTTTTGAGTGAGATCACCCATACTAAAGGTCAGACATTGGCATGGGAGTGTGAAAAGTGTATATAATAATTTTCATCCTTTTAATATTGTAGCTAAGTAATTGCAATAGGATAGGCTTGCCAGGGATTAGAGTATCAACATATCCGAATATTGTATGTATGTAACAGAGTCAGAAACAGTTATCTTATATTGTAGCATTTTTATCTGCTTTGCTGAGATAGTTTAAAAACCCCTATTCTTATGCAAATAAAAATCAGTAACTAATACTCCATTTTAATATTTGATAGGAGCTACACAGCTATTCCATACTACTG